TTACACTGACCCCCAATGTAAGGGGGGATTTACACTGACCCCCAATGTAAGGGGCAGTTACACTGACCCCTATGTAAGGGGGGAGTTACACTGACCCCCAATGTAAGGGGGGATTTACACTGACCCCCAATGTAAGGGGCAGTTACACTGACCCCTATGTAAGGGGGGAGTTACACTGACCCCCAATGTAAGGGAGGAGTTACACTGACCCCCAATGTAAGGGGGGAGTTACACTGACCCCCAATGTAAGGGGGAATTACACTCACCCCCAATGTAAGGGGAGATTTACACTGATTGGTGAGACGTCGGCCATGGAACGCGGACTTTGTCGCTGATGAATCATCGCTCTCCGCCAGGTAATGATTACTGAGAAGCTTTTGATGTCTCAGAACTTATCAGTAAAACAAAAAAGAGTTTTTCTGGCACACTCACCAGCCAGCATGTACAAAAACTTGTCTCACACTAAGGCCTGGTTCACACCGGGGCTTTTTATAGCGTGTGGCTGGCTGGTAAGTGTGCCAGGAAACCTTTTTTCTGTTTTACTGTTTAAAGCCCATTCCGTGTGCACCTTACTGTAAAGCTGGTGACGAATTGATGAGGAGGAGATTTCCTCTCACTTCCTGTTCTGTGACAGGAAGTCTGGCGAAACCTTATTAATAAAGTTTATTTGGCCCGACAAACTTTACGCAATTAGAGTCTATAGTAATTTTTGTTTTTATTATTCACAGCGCCTTAGTCTATGGGATGGATAATAAAAGGGCACTGGATAGGCTGAAATACCCCCCCTGGGGAAAATGCTGCTCCATGCTCCCAGCAGCACCAGTCACATGACCAACTGCCAAGCCACTGGGTCATGTGATCTCTGCTTAAAGAGAAGTTCAATGCAAAACTTCAGTGATACTCATCAAGATCATGTGACCCTTCACCTAGGGTTTTGGTCACATGACCAACACTCCAGGGAGCCTGGCGAAACACTTTCCCCAGGGAATCTTGGCATTTGCAGATAGGTCCACTTTCTAAATCTGTTACCAAATTATCATAAAACGCAGTGCTAATAATGTCATTGTCAACTATAACAACATTAATTATGATAATTATAGTTAATATTATAAATATAGGGATGAACAATAGAAAATATAAAAAATTTGATTCAGACAAAGTACCTCGTTGGCCTTTTTTTTCCCTAAACAAACATGGCCGTTCGAGAATTTCCGGCGCCATTTTACTCTACATCCGCTCCACGCACAACGATTGCGCGGCTCCTTCCTCCCTACTTCATTGGTCAGCTCAGCACCCGCGCTTCCAGTCGTCGGCTAGCCTGTTGGTCCGTTTGCTTTCGCCGTCTATTGGCTGTGCGCAAAGCTTAGGCTCCGGACGCGTTGATTGGGTGCTTGTGGGTCACGTGCTGGTGGAAAGTGAAAGTGTCGCCGCTGCGAGACTCTACATGCTTATGGATCCCACCGAGGTGAGAGAGGATGCATGGCAGCCCGCAACACAGACTCTGACTTGCTCTATTGTATCTTGTACAGGACACATTGAGACGCTGGCAGGTGAAAACCTGAATAGTCATTATTTTTTTCCTTTAAATCATGTAACTAAGGTCCAATGATACATAATACATATGCTACACATGTAAGTGCACACAGGGTTATCAATATACCTCGTTAAAGTGTGTAAAGTCCTTAATCTAGTTTTCGGTCCGTTAGGCATCATTCCAACAGTTTTATGCAAATGGTATTTTGTGAATTTGTTGCACAGTTTCTGCCAGTAATGACACTTCCTGTTGCATGGTGACAACGCTAAGCCATGTCTCGCAATTAGCAGCAGTGTTGTCGCTCTGCCGTCAGTTGCCCACAGATTTAATGAAATATCATTTGCTTTTGGTGGAAGGAAAAACTGCACAACAACCTCCCTATTGAATGTTTCCTCTCCCTCGCACCGATACTCGCGGTGTACATTCTCTACTAAATCGCCATCTAAATACATATTTGCTAAGTTGTCCTATGCGGTCATGTGACTGCAAAGCTCCCGCTCTACCCCCTTACTCTGGGCATGCACTCTTTGCTGACTGACAACACCAGAGCTATGGATGCCAGTGGGTGACAATACCGCTGTGTGGTATTCAGCAGTGTTGTCGGGCCGCACAGGACACGCGGAGCACCTGAAGCTTTGCAGTCATTGACGGCATAGAAAACTGAGAACGTGTTCAGAAGTTTGATTTACTGGAAGGTAGCCTTTCCTTCCACTGAAACGCAGATCTTCCATGGAAATGAAAGCCCCCACTCCCCAAAATCAGATCGCCTACGTGGGAATTTTTTTAAATAGAGCTCTTTAGAAGGCAGGAACCTGGGCTCTGGCTTCTGACGCCCCCGGAAGGCAACTTTCTGGAATTCACATTCCGGAAGATTGTTGTTATATCGCAATGGACAAATAAATATGGAAACCCAGAAGCCAATCTGTCCAATCCAGGAGCCGGCAGGCGTTTCCAGGAGCCGGTGTTCTATCGAAAGCTCCAACTCGTCGAAATCTCCAACTACCTCACTGCCGGGTGCTTGCAAGTTGGAGATTTCGACCAGACGGCGTTACACTGCAAAACACAAAGACTGCCGGAGCTTCTGTACAGCGGCATTTTAACAATATTCAGCGGGTGGTAAACTCGACGAGTATTCTAAAAGCGGTATGCGCGCATGCGCACCCCAACTGTACAGAGCTCCAGTCTTTCTGAGCACCGGAAGTGAGGTAGTTGGAGATTTCGATAGAACACTGGCAGTCCCCATCTGAGTCAACTCCCCCCTCCCATTTGTTGCCCTACCTTGATGCTTGTGTGCCCCCTCCCTCTCCCCCTTTACTTTGTTGCTCTGCCTGCACCACTTAGGCCTTGTTCACACCAAATGCAGATCCGGTCAGGTTTCTGCACACTCACGCTAGTCTTTTTGATGCGTTTTTGGCTAAAAAAATTGTTTTAATTTTAACATGGGCTTTCAGTGCGTTCCAGGCACTTGCATGCGTTTTTGATGCATTATTGATGCTTTTGCAGATCCAGAGCAGGTTAAAATAGGGCCTGCTGCAGTTTTTTTTACCTGCTCTGGATCCGCACGCTGAGATGTGAACTGGAGCTAAAAATACCATAGGAATACATTGTACGCAGTTTTGATCCGGTCTGCACCTGCTCTTCTCTGCACCTGCTCCGCACTTGGTGTGAACAAGGCCTTACTATCTTGTGTCGTAATCCGATGCGAGGGGGAACACAGATCAATACACGTATGACTTACTCCTCCTGTTGTGTTTTCTATAATCTACCTTAGATGATATAGGAGTAGCACGATGTGCTTATCTCCAAGAACTGCTGGATAAGCATGCTATCACGAAATGTTTATAAACCGTGATGTGCCCGTCAGGGCTGTTTTCGCCCTATGACGATTGCCCTTTTATCGTGGGCAACTCACTACTGATATAACACTCGAAATAAGACTGTTTTACACCTTTTATATGTTTTCCATGTATCGTGTATTTACACAAAGCTGGCTTTTGATTTAAAAAAAGAACACTGGCAGGAGTTTCCAGGAGCCGGCTCCATTGACAACATATAGGGAAAAACTCAAAAGTTGGGCACCGTTTGTAATTTTCTCAGGAGCATTGGAGACCTTAGAACCCATTAGAAGATGGAAACCTTTGTTGGCCGTGTGTTGACTTCTAGCCAATAAAGTTTTATGTGGGAGCAAAGCCATGTGATGAGATTTTTGCATACATACATTGTTGGTCTTCTGTAGCATTACATATGCAGGATATTATGTAGGACTCCTTGGTGGTGTCGGGCCGCATTTGAGGCCCCCTAGATCTAGACAGTTAACCATCAACATTGTAAAGCGTTGGGTTGCCGTCATCCGGTGATGTTCATGGGCTTGGTGCGAACCACTTCTGAGGCCTCCCATATCTAGACAGTTGCCCACCAATTTTGTAAAGCGTTGGGTTGCCGTCGTCCTTCAGTAATGTTCATGGGCTTGGTGCGAACCATGTTCACCCAAGGCAGAATTTGGAAGCTCCAATTCGGCAAGCAGTTCCGGGACAGACCTGGCCCCCAGGACCTCCTCCCGCACATGCTCTGTACTAGTGATATGTGGGGACTTGTTGCAAACCCAGTTTGCCCAAACCTGCGCACAACTGTCACTGACACACCCACCTCACGGCCCAATCAGTTGTGGCCGAGGCCTACTCTGTCCCCCGTCCCTTTGTGAAGCAGTTGGGGCCCAGGCCGGAACAGATTGGACCAGGAGGGGGGTCCAACAGTGACCGTTTTTTGTGCAGGCTTTGGTGAACTGGGCTAGCAACAAGCCCCCTGCATATCACTAGTACAGAGCATGTGCAAGAGGAGGTCCTGGGTGCCAAGTCTGCCGCTGAACTGCTTTCCCGTTTGGAGTTTCCGAATTCTGGCTTTGAACCGAAGAGGGACCACAGCTACAATGACGCCGTGAGATTCCCTCACCAGAGCTGCCCAAAGATACAGGTCAAAGGTAAGTACAAGAAAAAACAAAGTAATACATGAGGGGGGGCTCCAGGTCAGAGGGCTCTAAGATGGTCACACACTGCAGTTGAGGTCTTTTAATTTTACACTCTTCAATTTTAATACCGTGTTTTATCTTTTTCTCCTTTCACAGCTGGTGACGCCATCCAGATGGAGAACTTAACAGCAATTCTGTAATTTGATCAAAAAAATTCCTTACTCAAGATGGACGGGCCTGAGGATCTTCATGTAGCTGGTGTTACTATGGCTGAAGAAGGCCTGGTCTCGGAACACAGTCTTGCCCACACGCCAGGAGAGACTTTTCAGGGAGACGTTATGGCTGGAGAAGGCCTGGTGTCAGATCTCAGTCCTACCCACACACCAGAAAATACTTTGCAGGGGCACATTATGGCTGGAGAAGGCCTGGTGTCAGAGCCCAGTCCTACCCACACACCAGGAGAGACTTTGCAGGGGGACATTATGGCTGGAGAAGGCCTGGTGTCAGAGCCCAGTCCTACCCACACACCAGGAGAGACTTTGCAGGGGGACATTATGGCTGGAGAAGGCCTGGTGTCAGAGCTCAGTCCTACCCACACACCAGGAGAGACTTTGCAGGGGGACATTATGGCTGGAGAAGGCCTGGTGTCAGAGCTCAGTCCTACCCACACACTAGGAGAAACTTTTGAGGGAGACGTTGGTTTGTTGGAACGAAGCAGTGTTGATCTGTTTGAAAAGACATCTGAGTCAGAGGACTGCCTTGCCCACAACCTCGATGAGATGGACCATGGCTCATCATATAGAAGCCATGTTGATGTCTGTGGGAAGCCACCTGAGATGCTGGTTGAGGAAAGACTTGGGTCTTCAGAAAGTCCTATTGCTGTTGCAGAATCTTACATTGATGGCTCAGTTGAAAATAAAAATCTCTTAACATTTCAAGACCGCCATAAGACAAAGGCAGGAGAAGCGATCATTTCTGGAAGTGGTGAAGGTGCCCAGATCATGGGTGCAGATAGTGTCACAGAAGCACAAGGTTTAGCCATTCCGGAAGACGGTGGTCAGGATCCTGAGGAGCCCCCCAGCAAGAAGCCATGTGTTGACCACACAGGGCCGGTCTGTGACGTTTGCACCCATGAGGTGGAAGAAGTCACCCAGGAAGGAGGAACAGAGCTGGCAAATCCAGAGGACACGACTGAGACTGCAGAGGAGACTTATTTGTAAGAGAGCAGTGGGGTCATCCCCTATGTGGTATTGTCCTTAGCTGTGTGCTTGCTGGCTGTGTGCCACTGCTGGGGGGGGTGTATGCCAGTCCTCAGGTTCATATAAGAACCCCATTCGCCAATGTTCCTCTCCCTTCTAGACATGCCTACACATTGCTTGGCCTTTTGTCTATTTGCAGGCTGGCCTGTGTGCTCACATGTGATTAGTACAAGCCTCCACCTGTCACGTGTTGAGCTACACACGTGTTGGCATCCACCATGAACCCGTGTCCTTCTTTTATTGGAGAGGATGTTTTGCATATAATTCTCAGGAACTTCACCTGAAGTCTTCCTTGTTTTTTGTTCTCAGATTTTAATCTGCGTTTCCGCCAACCTTTCCCTCTCATGTTGCGGCGCAATGTTCTTCTTTACTAATCATTTGCTGCATTTAGTTATCGGGTATTAAAGATCTATAGGTAGATATCAGACCTGCAGGACACGGCCAGGTGGCCTGAGAATATCTCAGGGGGCTTCCCTGTGTGTGTGTGATTGATTCTCCACTAGGGAATGTTTGGTGAAAGTCACATTCACTGCTTTATAGCACATACGTGTTCCTCAGGGAGTGGGGGGAAAAAAAGGCTTCTAAGGCTGGAACAGAAACCTGTGCTGAGGGTGGCATTGGTGAGTACTGAGGGGGCGCCCAATCTTTTGCACATGGCTGTGTCTCCAGTCATTCGTTCTGAGGTCAGTAATGGGCACAGCAGACTGCCGGGGTATTGGCTCCACCCCTAGGAGGATGGACAACAGGAAGGGGAAGGCTATGCTCATCCAACTATAGCTCCCTTGTACAGGAAGTGGGAGTCGGTGTTGGCTCGGTGTTTCAGTAGGTAGGACGGCTTCTCAAAAGTTTTTATGGTTTTTAGTAGGGATGTGCCAATACCGATATCTTTTTTTTTTTTGGTACCCGCCGATCCCGTAAGTCGCATTAACCACTTGCTACCAGGTGTGTCCACCCCCTTCCCACCCCGTCCAGTTTTCAGTGTTCAGCGCTGCGATACTTTGACTGACATTTATTCCGTCATGCAACGCTGTACTGAAATAACATTTTATACCCTTTTATGGGGGCAGATGGAGCTTCTTTTGGTGGTATTTAATCCCCACTGCGGGTTTTATTATTTACTATATCATGAAAAAAGTACCGAAAATTTTGAAAAAAAAAAAAAAACCCTTTTTCCCCTACGTTATGTTATAAAACATTTATTAACACCAAACATGTCAAGCTTTAAAATTGCGCGCACCCGCTACATCGCAGAAAACTACCATACTCAAAATTGACCATAGCCAACGCTTTAAAAGCTTTTACCGCTCATCAGTTTAGTGTTATCAGTGATTGATGACCCTAAAATTCTTGCTCTCATTCCAACGTTCACTGCGATATGTAACATGTGCGGCGCAATGGATGTAATCGTCGCTTTTTGCACGTATGCGCCCCAGACGCATGTTTGTGGGGGGCGGGGGACTTTAATTCAGTGTCGGAGAGTGACACTGAATGCAGGCAGTGATGTAATACATATCACTGCCTGCACTCAGGAGAGGAGATCAAACGGAGATCGTGTACTGATCTCCGGCCGCAGAGCTGCTGTGCTGGTCCCGTGCTCACACCGGGCACAGCGGAGCTCTGGATCTGCGGCGGAGGGGGCGCACACCCGCACGCATATTACAAGCGATCGGTCGTCTCTACAGACGCTTGTATGTAAACAGCCATCGCTGGCTGTTTACATTCAAAGCCGATTTCCCGCTCGTGCGCGCCGCCTAGCGGCGGGCACGAGCAGGACGCCATGGGACGTCTACGGACGCCCACCCGCTCTCAAGAAGCCGCTGTCCGGCCGTTTAATGACGACGTCCGGACAGCAGGTGGTTAAGGAAGCGAGGAAGCTTGTAATGACTCGCCACCCGGCTTCCCGATAAGCATGGAGCCGGCTTCCTGGCTTCGGAAAGCTGGGCGCTGTGTAATGACTCGCTGCCCAGCTTCCTGATACTGGAACCTCAGATATCGGACTAAGCATCGGAGCATTTGGGAGAGTACAAGTACTCTCCCAAATACTTGGCATCGGTACCGACACTAGTATCCCTAGTTTTTAGATTTTATTATTATTTTTTTAAATAAAATAAATATGCAAGTACCTGATTCTGACTCTTGCAGTCCATGTACAGCAGGGCTAGAGGAATGAGCGGCACGCGAACCCAATCAGTTCCTCTGCTTAAAAGGAGCATGCTGAAAGGGGAAAGAGCAGAGCGGCAGAGAGATGAGCTGATCACTGTGCTGCTTCTCAGTTCACGGTCCAGTCACAGGGTGGGGGAGGATCCATGACAGCCCGGGCTCAGAGGAAGTGGGTGGAATGATGCTGGCCATTAGAGCGAGGACAACTAGTGGTGGAAGAGTGCAGTTGAGGAGAATTCTGGGTTGAATGGTGCAGCAGAAGTTGTCGTGTTGCTCAGCTCGGAGTCTGTAATGTCTTCTAACGAGTCTGTTTCCTTCTGCGTCCCGCAGCCCACCATCGTACGACTTCTCTCAGCCTCCCTGGGCGCTGACCGGAGCGTGGAACGAGTACTCCAACGTTCCCGAAAACTTCCTGAAAGGCTGCAAGTGGTGAGTGTCGGGGGCGGGGGCGCTGAAATCTGCTGCCGGACGCGGGTGGTATGGCCGGCCCTGTACAGAAGGTCCATAGAGCATGTTGACCCCTTATCTCCATTCAACTGGTCATCCTCCAAGTGCATGGAAACCCCGACAGTGACCGCCTCTGATCTGCCCCCTTTGGGTCTGTTAAAGGAGAAGTATGAGGGGAGTGATTTCCACTCATCCTCCTAGTTAGAGCCGACGCATGACAAAGAAACGGTTGCAGGTCGGCTCTATCGATCGGGAAGTGAGCAGAAACATGCAGCTGATCCGCTCATCTCCCTGCCGACAGTGGTGACTGTCACTCACGGCTCCCTGTAGGGATTCCCCCCTCTCCGATCCTCCAGCGCTGACTGGAGGAGGGGAGGGGGGCGGGGACAGCTGGCTCTGCCTCTAGATAGGCGGAGCCAGCTGTCACTCACGCAGCTGGGTGGATCTCAACCGTAATGTCGGGTTCCGTCCCGGCTGCTGCGCTCACAGTATATCACGAGCAATAGCCCGCCATATACTGAGCTTAGGGTCACAGGAGGACGCTAGTTTATGTCCTCCCTTTTTGTTATCAACCCTGCCCACTAGACTACAGAAACCTCCCATTAATATTATTTATTGCAGGGGAGGGATTCTGCAGTCCATGCCCCCATTCTGTCCTAGGGTGACAACTGCCCTAGGCATGCTTTAGTGAAGACCCCCCTCTAAGAAAGTTTGTACATTCAGGTGGAACTGGTCCAAACTTACACCAAGTACCCTGCCCCCCCCCCCCCCCCCCCCCCCTTATAGACCAAAACCCAAAGGCTGTCTCTTGGTGTGGCTGGGGACCGCACATCACGGACTTTAACCATCTTTCACCTCCCACCACAGGGCTCCGGATGGGTCGTGTATTTTAACAAACAGCGATGACAACATTCTGAGGATATGCAATCTTCCATCGGAGATCTATTCCGGAGAATGGGATTTGCTGCAGGAAATGGTACGTTCCCCGGCAGGGCGCCCACTAGAGGGCAAATATGGAGACTCCGGGTTCCCTGCTGTATGATATAATCTGATGACACTCCATGCACTGTCTTTATCCAATCATCAGAAATGCCGCATAAGAAGAAATAACGACGGATGTTCTTTTCAATCACAAAGTATAAATTGGGGATCAGTCAGGTTCCATGCAGGGAAAGGTCAGCACACTGTTATTCTGTTGTCTTGCAGGCCCCGGTTCTCCGTATGGCTGAGGGTGACACCATTTATGATTACTGCTGGTATCCGTCTATGAGCTCCGCTGACCCCGACACATGCTTGTAAGTCTTTCTGATCATCATAAATATGTTAATATAGAATGTCTCTCAAGTCTATATTGGAGCAGGGCCCGTCCATTATCTAGAGACCAGTGACATCACCGACACTTCATATTCATGAGAACACAGCCCGTCCATTCACTAGAGACCAGTGACATCACCGACACTTCATATTCATGAGAACACAACGCGTCCATTCACTGGAGACCAGTGACATCACCGACACTTCATATTCATGAGAACACGGCCCGTCCATTCACTAGAGACCAGTGACATCACCGACACTTCATATTCATGAGAACACAGCCCGTCCATTCACTAGAGACCAGTGACATCACCCACACTTCATATTCATGAGATTGCAGTCTGGCACAGCAGAATTCTACATTGCATCAATTAATTTTGTATTTTCTAGCATTGCCAGCAGCAGCCGGGACAACCCCATCCATGTGTGGGACGCCTTCAATGGAGAAATGAAAGCTTCTTACAGACCTTACAATCATCTTGTAAGTAGAGAAAATATATACAGACTCCTAACTCCCTATATCACCGTGCAGGAGGAGGACAGACTCATAGCTCCCATCTATGTGTCACCCTGCAGGAGGAGGACAGACTCATAGCCCCCTTCTGTCTGTATCACCCTGCAGGAGGAGGACAGACTCATAGCCCCCTTCTGTCTGTATCACCCTGCAGGAGGACAGACATACAGTAGCTGCTGATCTCCACATAACACTAATGCATTCTCTCTTGGTTTTAGGATGAACTGACAGCTGCTCACTCCGTCTCATTCTCTCCGGATGGGTCTTTGCTTTTTGCTGGTTTTGATAAAATGATTCGGGTGTTTAATACGACTCGCCCGGGAAGAGACTGTGAGTGTCGACCTACTTTCCGTAAGTACTTCAGAGATCATATTCTTTGTTTCTATTAAAATGTCAACATTAGCTGTGTATTGTAAGGACTGCAGTGGTCAGGGTTGCTTTCCTTAAGCAGAGCAGAGTATTTCAGGAGAGGAGAGTTATAGAGGAAGGAGCAGAGTCCTCCAGCAGAGTATTTCAGGAGAGGAGAGTTAGGGAAAGGAGCAGAGTCCTCCAGCAGAGAATTTCAGGAGAGGAGAGTTAGGGAAAGGAGCAGAGTCCTCCAGCAGAGCAGAGTATTTCAGGAGAGGAGAGTTATAGAGGAAGGGGCCGAGTCCTCCGGAAGGGGCCGAGTCCTCCGGAAGGGGCCGAGTCCTCCGGAAGGGGCCGAGTCCTCCGGAAGGGGCCGAGTCCTCCGGAAGGGGCCGAGTCCTCAGTGAATACATTACAGAGTTGGATCATCACACATGTGTACATGAAAGCTGTGATATTACTATGAAATCTCCTTTATATATCCCTCTCATCCTAACCTCCTAATCCCATACAGAGAAGAAGCAAGGCCAGCCGGGTATCATCTCCTGCATTGCTTTCAGCCCTTCTCGGGACATTTACGCCTGCGGTTCGTATTCAAAGTGTCTGGGCCTGTACTCCTACGAGGAAGGGATCACTCTGTCTGTTCTGCACGGTCAACATGGAGGGGTCACCCACCTGCTCTTCTCACCAGACGGAAACTGTATATTCTCTGGAGGACGGAAGGTAAGTCACTTCATAATATGTTCTTCCCTGTATGCATCAGCATGGGTTATGGAGAGTTTCATCTCCGAGAATTCTACTACTGCAATACTCTGGAGGACTCTGCTCCTTCCTCTAACTCTCCTCTCCTGGAATACTCTGCATGCCTGGAGGACTCTGCTCCTTCCTCTATAACTCTCCTCTCCTGAAATGCTCTGCTGGAGGACTCTGCTCCTTCCTCTATAACTCTCCTCTCCTGGAATACTCTGCTCTGCTGGAGGACTCTGCTCCTTCCTCTATAACTCTCCTCTCCTGAGGGACTCTGCTGGAGGACTCTGCTCCTTCCTCTAACTCTCCTCTCCTGGAATACTCTGCTCTGCTGGAGGACTCTGCTCCTTCCTCTATATAACTCTCCTCTCCTGGAATACTCTGCTCTGCTGGAGGACTCTGCTCCTTCCTCTATAACTCTCCTCTCCTGGAATACTCTGCTCTGCTGGAGGACTCTGCTCCTTCCTCTATAACTCTCCTCTCCTGATATGCTCTGCTGGAGGACTCTGCTCCTTCCTATCTAACTCTCCTCTTCTGAAACATTCAGTGGAAACAGAATCCTCCATTAGTTAAAATTGAACAATCCTCCTCTATGTTCCTGCATACCATGTGAACGTTTACCTGCTGCAGTTAGGTGTGGGGTGTGTGTGGGGTGTGTGTGGGGTGTGTGTGGGGTGGGTGTGGGGTGGGTGTGGGGGGTGTGTGGGGGTTGTGTGGGGTGGGTGTGCATT